TAGTCTAGTCTATAGTCTAGTCTATAGTCTAGTCTATAGTCTAGTCTATAGTCTAGTCTATAGTCTAGTCTATAGTCTAGTCTATAGTCTAGTCTATAGTCTAGTCTATAGTCTAGTCTAGTCTAGTATAGTCTAGTCTATAGTCTAGTCTATAGTCTAGTCTATAGTCTAGTCTATAGTCTAGTCTATAGTCTAGTCTATAGTCTAGTCTATAGTCTAGTCTATAGTCTAGTCTATAGTCTAGTCTATAGTCTAGTCTATAGTCTAGTCTATAGTCTAGTCTATAGTCTAGTCTATAGTCTAGTCTATAGTCTAGTCTATAGTCTAGTCTATAGTCTACTCTATAGTCTAGTCTATAGTCTACTCTATAGTCTAGTCTATAGTCTAGTCTATAGTCTAGTCTATAGTCTAGTCTATAGTCTAGTCTATAGTCTAGTCTAGTCTATAGTCTAGTCTAGTCTATAGTCTATAGTCTATAGTCTATAGTCTATAGTCTATAGTCTATAGTCTATAGCCTATAGTCTATAGTCTATAGTCTATAGTCTATAGTCTAGTCTAGTCTAGTCTAGTCTAGTCTTGTCTAGTCTATATTCTAGTCTAGTCTATAGTCTAGTCTATAGTCAAGTCTATAGTCTAGTCTATAGTCTAGTCTATAGTCTAGTCTATAGTCTAGTCTATAGTCTAGTCTATAGTCTAGTCTATAGTCTAGTCTATAGTCTAGTCTATAGTCTAGTCTATAGTCTAGTCTATATTCTAGTCTATAGTCTATAGTCTAGTCTATAGTCTAGTCTATAGTCTAGTCTATAGTCTAGTCTATAGTCTAGTCTATAGTCTAGTCTATAGTCTAGTCTATAGTCTAGTCTATAGTCTAGTCTATAGTCTAGTCTATAGTCTAGTCTATAGTCTAGTCTATAGTCTAGTCTATAGTCTAGTCTATAGTCTAGTCTATAGTCTAGTCTATAGTCTAGTCTATAGTCTAGTCTATAGTCTAGTCTATAGTCTAGTCTATAGTCTAGTCTATAGTCTAGTCTATAGTCTAGTCTAAGTCTAGTCTAGTCTATAGTCTAGTCTGTAGTCTAGTCTATAGTCTAGTCATAGTCTAGTCTATAGTCTAGGTCTATAGCTCTAGTTTATAGTCTAGTCTATAGTCTAGTCTATAGTCTAGCCTATAGTCTAGTCTATAGTCTAGTCTATAGTCTAGTCTATAGTCTAGTCTATAGTCTAGCCTATAGTCTAGTCTATAGTCTAGTCTATAGTCTAGTCTATAGTCTAGTCTATAGTCTAGTCTATAGTCTAGTCTATAGTCCTAGTCTATAGTCTAGTCTATAGTCTAATCTATAGTCTAGTCTATAGTCTAGTCTATAGTCTAGTCTATAGTCTAGTCTATAGTCTAGTCTATAGTCTAGTCTATAGCCTAGTCTATAGTCTAGTCTATAGCCTAGTCTATAGTCTAGCCTATAGTCTAGTCTATAGTCTAGTCTACAGTCTAGTCTATAGTCTAATCTATAGCCTAGTTTATAGTCTAGTCTATAGTCTAGTCTATAGTCTAGTCTATAGTCTAGTCTATAGTCTAGTCTATAGTCTAGTCTATAGTCTAGTCTATAGTCTAGTCTATAGTCTAGTCTATAGTCTAGTCTATAGTCTAGTCTATAGTCTAGTCTATAGTCTAGTCTATAGTCTAGTCTATAGTCTAGTCTATAGTCTAGTCTATAGTCTAGTCTATAGTCTAGTCTATAGTCTAGTCTATAGTCTAGTCTATAGTCTAGTCTATAGTCTAGTCTATATTCTAGTCTATAGTCTAGTCTATAGTCTAGTCTATAGTCTAGTCTATAGTCTAGTCTATAGTCTAGTCTATAGTCTAGTCTATAGTCTAGTCTAGTCTATAGTCTAGTCTATAGTCTAGTCCATAGTCTAGTCTATAGTCTAGTCTATAGTCTAGTCAATAGTATAGTCTATAGTCTAGTCTATAGTCTTGTCTATAGTCTAGTCTATAGTCTAGTCTATAGTCTAGTCTATAGTCTAGTCTATAGTCTTGTCTATAGTCTAGTCTATAGTCTAGTCTATAGTCTAGTCTATAGTCTAGTTTATAGTCTAGTCTATAGTCTAGTCTATAGTCTAGTCTATAGTCTAGTCTATAGTCTAGTCTATAGTCTAGTCTATAGTCTAGTCTATAGTCTAGTCTATAGTCTAGTCTATAGTCTAGTCTATAGTCTAGTCTATAGTCTAGTCTATAGTCTAGTCTATAGTCTAGTCTATAGTCTAGTCTATAGTCTAATCTATAGTCTAGTCTGTAGTCTAGTCTATAGTCTAGTCTATAGTCTAGTCTATAGTGTAGTCTATAGTCTAGTCTATAGTCTAGTCTATAGTCTAGTCTATAGTCTAGTCTATAGTCTAGTCTATAGTCTAGTCTATAGCCTAGTCTATAGTCTAGTCTATAGTCTAGTCTAGTCTAGTCTAGTCTATAGTCTAGTCTATAGTCTAGTCTATAGCCAAGTCTATAGCCTAGTCTATAGTCTAGTCTATAGTCTAGTCGATAATCTAGTCTATGGTCTAGTCTATAGTCTAGTCTATAGTCTAGTCTATAGTCTAGTCTATAGACTAGTCTATTGTCTAGTCTATAGTCTCGTCTATAGTCTAGCTATAGTCTTGTCTATAGTCTATTCTATAGTCTAGTCTACTGACTAGTAAAGTCTATAGTCAAAGTAAGTCTATAGTCAAATCTATAGTCTAATTTATAGCCTAATCCATAGTCTAGCCTGTAGTCTAGTCTATAGTGTAGTCTATAGTTTAGTCACTAGACTTGTCTATAGTCTAGTATATAGTCTAGTTTAATCTATAGACTTGTCCATAGTTTAGTCTATAGTCGAATATTTTTTCTGGTTTATTAATTCGACCAGAGGAACTGACGCAAACGAATGACCGGGTGTAAGTTTAATATTTCGATACGTTTTTGCATTACATACACCATCATTTTCACATGCAATATGATGAACGTCGGTTTTATTTCCACATAACTGAGGATCACACCATGAATTATCCGCACACAAACAATTTAAGATGTTCTCTAATAAAAACAATAAAATTAATATTTTCCGCTTAATTGACAAATGAGTAAACACTTTTAGTAGCAAAATTCTCATAATTCTATATTAAATTTTGAATTCGATATTTATTTAAGATTTTAATATTTGTCTATATCTTTTTAACGTTTTTAGCTAAGTTTACTTGTCTGGAATGGATCACTATTAATGCTGTTGCGTTATTACATTGGTAAATGGAGTTTTATAGACTTACGTATTTTTTATAATTTGATATGAATCGAATTAGATTTTATGGACTTTAAGAAAATTTGTAACGCCTATAAACTATTAAATTGATTCTTCACAATAAGATGCATATTTATAGGAATTTCAGAATCTTAATAAATTTCGTTTTTATTCTAAAATATACTTCACTAATACTTACTAAAAAGCACTTTCCTAATATATATATATCTGTAATTTTGAAAAGCCTGTTTGTCCTTAAAATTTGATTTTCGAGATTTAATGGCGATATTTTGGGCTTTTATTGCCAAATATTGGTACTTTATGAATGGATTCAAAACATTGACTATGGCCGACTAAGAGGTTTATTTATCTTTATGGATTCCTCGTCAAAACATCCGTTAATTTTTTGAGGCCAGATACGAATGGAATGCTCACACTGACAATATATTGCAGTGAGGGCGTTCCGCATCGATCGCAAGGAATAGTTGTCGGATGGGCAAGGTCTTGACTTTATCTTCGAATCAATATTAAATCCTCTGCACCGCATAACTAAAGTATTCTCGTTCGATGTTCAGAAACTCAGTATCCTGGACGTAAATCCTAAGAATTTTTCCATCAGTGGGAGATGTTATAGCCAGAATAATATAACTCTCAAGATATTTGGATATAATTTCGACGAAATCCTGACAATGACAAAGAAATTGCTCCATAGTTTTACCATATAGTCTACATTCATTTGAATTCGCACGTATAATTTTGTATAGTTGTCCCCGTAATCATGTGTGTCCTGATCTCGTTAAGATTACAGCATAGGATCTTTGTGGTTCTACCCTTTAATTTGGCCCTCATTACGTCGAATGGTTTTGCGCTCTTTGTTGCTAACTGCTGCCGAATGGCCTGGTATTCAGTTAAAACTTTCGTACAATACAATATGGTCTTAGATTTAACCTTAGATATCACCTGATATCGTAGAAGGTAATTTGCTTCTGGCTGTCGGTACATATGTTAACCCCTGTTGGTGCTATATGTTTATTCTAATCCAATTTACACATTCCCTTTTTGCTCGGACTTCTGCCTGGAAGTTAGTATTATATTTCGGTTTCAGGGTCTTCACTATATTGACTCCCAGTTTAGGTGCTCCGTGTGGCAACGGATACCTACAGCTATTTGCTCTAATTTTCCGCTTTCCGCTGACATTTTATATCTCATCAGTATTTCAAAGTTCCCCGACCTATTCTGTGTATGCGATCGGGCACGTCCAGTGTTTGTGTAGCCTTCTAATGTGTCCATTATGCATTGATGACGCTTATATACCGTTTTATAGCTGTAATTGGTCAATTTGTCTAAACTTTGGACAGTTAGTGTCGCCTCATATATGGGTGGAAAATCTAGCATGACACATTTGCGCAAGCAGCATGTATGCTCTCTATAGTAGTTTGATATTCACTTTACGTCTAAAGAAGTCCACCACATTAGAATGGGTCTAATCACTAATTGTATAAAGGCCTCTCAGTTGAGCCAAGCTTAAGGCCGTATTCAGAGCCTCATCAGACCCTTTACACAAGAAATTCCCCTTAGAAGTATACTGCATACCAGATTTGACCAAGTCCTTTCTTAGTTAGGGTCCTTCGAACATCTGCCAGCTTATACAATTTCGCCCAAGTTTTTTTTTTTCATTTCCCTTCCCTAATAACAATAATAAACCATGAGAACATTTAAAAAATAAATTTAAAAATTTTTTAATCTCTTTTTTTATACGAAATCATATACAGTTTTGTTTTTTCTTAATTCTAAATTACTTTTACAACTATTTACACTAAATTGTTGTATAAATCAACAAAAAAATCCTTAAACATTAAAAAAAAGTAATAAATTCACAGATACACATTATTCATTTTATACTAAATATAAAATCTCAATAATTAGGATCAAAATCTTCGCGTTCTGAACACAATGCCGGGAAACGTGGATTTCTACCAGTCTTACAACCGCTACCGGGATAACCAGTTTTATAAAGGGGAGCACCCAGAGCATACACCGATGAGTAGTTGCACACCACATTATAGACATACAAGTGTGGGTAATCGGGTCGGGTAAAACGCATTATGGCGCAGCCCACGCGGGCAATACGATCAACAATCATTTCAGCAAAATGACCATAAGCTTCACTGTTATAGAAGATAAAAATAAATTCTGATCATATGTATATTTTTTAAAATAAATTTCTTAACTTACAAATTCCTGGTAACCTTAAAGGAGTCGACAAAAGAACTATCAATCAAATCGTATTCGGTGTCAAACCATAAAGTTATGGTTTCATCTATAAGATTTGTTACATTTACGTAGCGTGACTTCAATCTGGAGATGCCGCATAAATTTTGTCCGGTATTGTGGAATCTGTAGGTGTGATTACAATCATCATGATCCAATTTACAGGTGCGTACATTAAGACCGGCTAAATATTGTAATTCATCATCCCAAACCTGTGAGAAGTGAAAAAGAACTTATATTATTTTTGCAGTTTAGGGATAAGTACATAAAGAATCGAGTTTAAAATTATATTACACAGTCAATAGGCTCCTTATTTATGTCGTTTATAAATTGCAAAATTTTTCAATATTATTAAGAGTTAAAAATGGACAATATAGGTTAATTTTTTTAGATAAAACTCTAAAATAATATAATGAAACAAAATATCAGCTGGATTTTTATGAAAAATCCATTTAACGACATTCGACTGTATGCCCGAAATCTTCGGGATCCCTGTTTTAACACAAACCCTAATTGTAAAATTCTTAAGAACTACGTCAACGAAACTGAGTTTCTGAACATTAGGTGATAACTCATTCATCTCACGAACCTAACCATACAGATGGTTCAAAGATGAACTCAGGTGTTGGTCCTAATTTTTAGGTTCACATATATGACCTCAATATTTAGTCTAGTCTATAGTCTAGTCTAGTCTAGTCTAGTCTAGTCTAGTCTAGTCTAGTCTAGTCTAGTCTAGTCTAGTCTAGTCTATAGTCTAATCTATTGCCTAGTCTATAGACTAGTCTATAGTCTAGTCTATAGCCTAGTCTATAGCTTAGTCTATAGTCTAGTCTATAGTCTAATCTATAGCCTAGTCTATAGTCTAGTCTATAGACTAGTCAATAGTCTAGTCTATAGCATAGTCTAGTCTATAGTCTAGTCTATAGTCTAGTCTATAGTCTAGTCTATAGTCTAGTCTATAGTCTAGTCTATAGTCTAGTCTATAGTCTAGTCTATAGTCTAGTCTAAAGTCTAGTCTATAGTCTAGTCTATAGTCTAGTCTATAGTCTAGTCTATAGTCTAGTCTATAGTCTAGTCTATAGTCTAGTCTATAGTCTAGTCTATAGTCTAGTCTATAGTCTAGTCTATAGTCTAGTCTATAGTCTAGTCTATAGTCTAGTCTATAGTCTAGTCTATAGTCTAGTCTATAGTCTAGTCTATAGTCTAGTCTATAGTCTAGTCTATAGTCTAGTCTATAGTCTAGTCTATAGTCTAGTCTATAGTCTAGTCTATAGTCTAGTCTATAGTCTAGTCTATAGTCTAGTCTATAGTCTAGTCTATAGTCTAGTCTATAGTCTAGTCTATAGTCTAGTCTATAGTCTAGTCTAGTCTAGTCTATAGTCTAGTCTATAGTCTAGTCTATAGTCTAGTCTATAGTCTAGTCTATAGTCTAGTCTATAGTCTAGTCTATAGTCTAGTCTATAGTCTAGTCTATAGTCTAGTCTATAGTCTAGTCTATAGTCTAGTCTATAGTCTAGTCTATAGTCTAGTCTATAGTCTAGTCTATAGTCTAGTCTATAGTCTAGTCTATAGTCTAGTCTATAGTCTAGTCTATAGTCTAGTCTATAGTCTAGTCTATAGTCTAGTCTATAGTCTAGTCTATAGTCTAGTCTATAGTCTAGTCTATAGTCTAGTCTATAGTCTAGTCTATAGTCTAGTCTATAGTCTAGTCTATAGTCTAGTCTATAGTCTAGTTCTATAGTCTAGTCTATAGTCTAGTCTATAGTCTAGTCTATAGTCTAGTCTATAGTCTAGTCTATAGTCTAGTCTATAGTCTAGTCTATAGTCTAGTCTATAGTCTAGTCTATAGTCTAGTCTATAGTCTAGTCTAGTCTATAGTCTAGTCTATAGTCTAGTCTATAGTCTAGTCTATAGTCTAGTCTATAGTCTAGTGTATAGTCTAGTCTATAGTCTAGTGTATAGTCTAGTCTATAGTCTAGTCTATAGTCTAGTCTGTAGTCTAGTCTATAGTCTAGTCTATAGTCTAGTCTATAGTCTAATCTATAGCCTAGTCTATAGTCTGGTCTATAGACTAGTCAATAGTCTAGTCTATAGCATAGTCTAGTCTATAGTCTAGTCTGTAGTCTAGTCTATAGTCTAGTCTATAGTCTAGTCTATGGTCTAGTCTATAGTCCAGTCTATAGTCTAGTCTATAGTCTAGTCTATAGTCTAGTCTATAGTCTAGTCTATAGTCTAGTCTATAGTCTAGTCTATAGTCTAGTCTATAGTCTAGTCTATAGTCTAGTCTATAGTCTAGTCTATAGTCTAGTCTATAGTCTAGTCTATAGTTTAGTCTATAGTCTAGTCTACGTCTAGTCTAGTCTATAGTCTAGTCTATAGTCTAGTCTATAGTCTAGTCTATAGTCTAGTCTATAGTCTAGTCTATAGTCTAGTCTATAGTCTAGTCTATAGTCTAGTCTATAGTCTAGTCTATAGTCTAGTCTATAGTCTAGTCTATAGTCTAGTCTATAGTCTAGTCTATAGTCTAGTCTATAGTCTAGTCTATAGTCTAGTCTATAGTCTAGTCTATAGTCTAGTCTATAGTCTAGTCTATAGTCTAGTCTATAGTCTAGTCTATAGTCTAGTCTATAGTCTAGTCTATAGTCTAGTCTATAGTCTAGTCTATAGTCTAGTCTATAGTCTAGTCTATAGTCTAGTCTATAGTCTAGTCTATAGTCTAGTCTATAGTCTAGTCTATAGTCAGTCTATAGTCTTGTCTATAGTCTAGTCTATAGTCTAGTCTATAGTCTTGTCTATAGTCTAGTCTATAGTCTAGTCTATAGTCTAGTCTATAGTCTAGTCTATAGTCTAGTCTATAGTCTAGTCTATAGTCTAGTCTATAGTCTTGTCTATAGTCTAGTCTATAGTCTTGTCTATAGTCTAGTCTATAGTCTAGTCTATAGTCTAGTCTATAGTCTTGTCTATAGTCTAGTCTAGTCTATAGTCTAGTCTATAGTCTAGTCTATAGTCTAGTCTATAGTCTAGTCTATAGTCTAGTCTATAGTCTAGTCTATAGTCTAGTCTATAGTCTAGTCTATAGTCTAGTCTATAGTCTAGTCTATAGTCTAGTCTATAGTCTAGTCTATAGTCTAGTCTATAGTCTAGTCTATAGTCTAGTCTATAGTCTAGTCTATAGTCTAGTCTATAGTCTAGTCTATATTCATAGCTCGTGTAAATTTGAAAAATTCAACCACAATTTTCTCTCAGTATATCCACAATTGCCTCGTGTTTATTCACCACGTAACTGTCACTGATATAAAATAAACACCCAAAGATCTTCTTCATCAAGTTAATAACAATTAGTTGAATAATTAACATTTTTTAAAAGTTCATGCTTGTCTTAATCTTTAATTTATGTTTAATTGCTAACGCTAACTAACTAAAATAATCATTATGTTATAAGTCAAGTGTCAGTTAAAGATTTAATAAAAAAAGGTAAAATAACTGTGATGTTTTTTATTACATCCGTTTCCTTAGAACCGTACTTAAATAAATCTCGTGCTATAAGTATGTATTTATAGAAGAGATGCAAAAAAATCTTTAAATACATAAAGGTGTGGCTGTTCACTGAATAAGAGATTAATTAAAGTTATTAAATCTATTATTGCGATGTCATCAGTGTGATGCAATAAAAATTACATTACATCAATTATAGTCAAATAAAATGTTTACAAATGATGGTAATATTTTAGAATTATTAACAATTATTATGTTATGACTTTATAATAATTGTTAGTTTTTTCAGTAATGCATTACTTCTATTTTGAAAATTAAGTGAATATTGTACAAATCCTACACTAGTAGCTTATGAACTGAACAAACATTTTATAGTAAATTTCTTTTGAATTAGAAACTGCTTTCAAAACTGTCAACAGAGTTTTTTAATTGTTTAAAACTCTTAGATCATCTTAATATTGAAATTGTCCCAATGAATAGATTTCGGTAGACTTGTTTCCTAGACAATAGAACTTTTTTTATTAAACAGTGACAACTGGTTTATATATAATAATTTCATTGAAAGATTTTGAACATGGAAACACTTTCTTTCATCGAGTTTTTTGTTTCAGCTTGTCGTAACCGGAATTTGCATGTCTCTCTCTTGTTATTGGCTAATTTATGGATTGTATTAAGATGTTTTATAAGAAAACAAACACTTTAATAATAATTTATTTTAAAATTTTACATTTTAATTTAATATTTGATTTATGATCTATTGAAAGAGAATGATAAATATACACATTTAGCAGAGGTGCCTGAAATAGCCAACGATTTCTTAACAAAAAGTAAGCCAAAGACCTAAAGCGGGCACGTGTTGCGTTTATTCAAGATCTTGAATAGATTTTTAGCTTTTGAACTAGTAGTTTTGAAGCCTTATGCAGTAGACGCTCATTCTATAAAACGGTTCTGCACCTACACTTTGTTACTGGTTTATTTAAAATTTACGATTCTACATTATCATTGTTAGGAACGGTCTACTTATGTACTATACATATTTTGCAATATAATGATTTCTTTTTAAATGTTCTGTTAAACAAATTACAGTTTTTATATAAAGTATAATATATCGACATTAAATTAATATTAATCCTTTTAAGCAACTCATTGTTTTATATTTTAATCTTATATTAATGGTTTTGAACTTTAACGACATTAAAAAATTTCTTTAATATAATCTTTGGTTATTTATAATATTTCTTTAGAACTAGTTCTAAAACTTTTGCGGTTTTTGTGTGTGATTCTTTTTATAGATATTTATACCCAATAAACAATACAATAGCTAAACCAAATATACTCATCAAAATATAGAATTTTGACAGTCCGGGGGTAATCGGTCCTACTCCTACAAGGGACTTTCTTAAAGGAGCGGAAAACGTAGGCAATTTTGTAACTACTAACTAACTAACTAACTAACTAACTAACTAACTAACTAACTAACTACTAACTAACTAACTAACTAACTAACTAACTAACTAACTAACTAACTAACTAACTAACTAACTAACTAACTAACTAACTAACTAACTAACTAACTAACTAACTAACTAACTAACTAACTAACTAACTAACTACTAACTAACTACTAACTAACTAACTAACTAACTAACTAACTAACTAACTAACTAACTAACTAACTAACTAACTAACTACTAACTAACTAACTACTAACTAACTAACTAACTAACTAACTAACTAACTAACTAACTAACTAACGAACTAACTAACTAACTAACTAACTAACTACTAACTAACTAACTAACTAACTAACTAACTAACTAACTAACTAACTAACTAACTAACTAACTAACTACTAACTAACTAACTAACTAACTAACTAACTAACTAACTAACTAACTAACTAACTAACTAACTAACTAACTAACTACTAACTAACTAACTAACTAACTAACTAACTAACTAACTAACTAACTAACTAACTAACTAACTAACTAACTAACTAACTAACTAACTAACTAACTAACTAACTAACTAACTAACTAACTAACTAACTAACTAACTAACTAACTAACTAACTAACTAACTAACTAACTAACTAACTAACTAACTAACTAACTAACTAACTAACTAACTAACTAACTACTAACTAACTAACTAACTAACTAACTAACTAACTAACTAACTAACTAACTAACTAACTAACTAACTAACTAACTAACTAACTAACTAACTAACTAACTAACTAACTAACTAACTAACTAACTAACTAACTAACTAACTAACTAACTAACTAACTAACTAACTAACTAACTAACTAACTACTAACTAACTAACTAACTAACTAACTAACTAACTAACTAACTAACTAACTACTAACTAACTAACTAACTAACTAACTAACTAACTAACTAACTAACTAACTAACTAACTAACTAACTAACTAACTAACTAACTAACTAACTAACTAACTAACTAACTAACTAACTAACTAACTAACTACTAACTACTAACTAACTAACTAACTAACTAACTAACTAACTAACTAACTAACTAACTAACTAACTAACTAACTAACTAACTAACTAACTAACTAACTAACTAACTAACTAACTAACTAACTAACTAACTAACTAACTAACTAACTAACTAACTAACTAACTAACTAACTAACTAACTACTAACTAACTAACTAACTAACTACTAACTAACTAACTAACTAACTAACTAACTACTAACTAACTACTAACTAACTAACTAACTAACTACTAACTAACTAACTAACTAACTAACTAACTAACTAACTAACTAACTAACTAACTAACTAACTACTAACTAACTACTAACTAACTAACTAACTAACTAACTAACTAACTAACTAACTAACTAACTAACTAACTAACTAACTAACTAACTACTAACTAACTAACTAACTAACTAACTAACTAACTAACTAACTAACTAACTAACTAACTAACTAACTAACTAACTAACTAACTAACTAACTAACTAACTAACTAACTAACTAACTAACTAACTAACTAACTACTAACTAACTAACTAACTAACTACTAACTAACTAACTAACTAACTAACTAACTAACTAACTAACTAACTAACTAACTAACTACTAACTAACTAACTAACTAACTAACTAACTAACTAACTAACTAACTAACTAACTAACTAACTAACTAACTAACTAACTACTAACTAACTAACTAACTAACTAACTAACTAACTAACTAACTAACTAACTAACTAACTAACTAACTAACTAACTAACTAACTAACTAACTACTAACTAACTAACTAACTAACTACTAACTAACTAACTAACTAACTAACTAACTAACTAACTAACTAACTAACTAACTAACTAACTAACTAACTAACTAACTAACTAACTAACTAACTAACTACTAACTAACTACTAACTAACTAACTAACTACTAACTAACTAACTAACTAACTAACTAACTAACTAACTAACTAACTAACTAACTAACTAACTAACTAACTAACTAACTAACTAACTAACTAACTAACTACTAACTAACTAACTAACTAACTAACTAACTAACTAACTAACTAACTAACTAACTAACTAACTAACTAACTAACTAACTAACTAACTAACTACATAACTAACTAACTACTACTAACTAACTAACTAACTAACTAACTAACTAACTAACTAACTAACTAACTAACTAACTAACTAACTAACTAACTAACTAACTAACTAACTAACTAACTAACTAACTAACTAACTAACTAACTAACTAACTACTAACTAACTAACTAACTAACTAACTAACTAACTAACTAACTAACTAACTAACTAACTAACTAACTAACTAACTAACTAACTAACTAACTACTAACTAACTAACTAACTAACTAACTAACTAACTAACTAACTAACTAACTAACTACTAACTAACTAACTAACTAACTAACTAAACTACTAACTAACTAACTAACTAACTAACTAACTAACTAACTAACTAACTAACTAACTAACTAACTAACTAACTAACTAACTAACTACTAACTAACTACTAACTAACTAACTACTAACTAACTAACTAACTAACTAACTACTAACTAACTAACTACTAACTACCTAACTAACTAACTAACTAACTAACTAACTAACTAACTACTAACTAACTAACTAACTAACTAACTAACTAACTACTACTAACTAACTAACTAACTAACTAACTAACTAACTAACTAACTAACTAACTAACTAACTAACTAACTAACTAACTAACTAACTAACTAACTAACTAACTAACTAACTAACTAACTAACTAACTAACTAACTAACTAACTTAACTAACTAACTAACTAACTAACTAACTAACTAACTACTAACTAACTAACTAACTAACTAACTAACTAACTAACTAACTAACTAACTAACTAACTAACTAACTACTAACTAACTAACTAACTAACTAACTAACTAACTAACTAACTAACTAACTAACTAACTAACTAACTAACTAACTAACTACTAACTAACTAACTACTACTAACTAACTAACTAACTAACTAACTAACTAACTAACTAACTAACTAACTAACTAACTAACTAACTAACTAACTAACTAACTAACTAACTAACTAACTAACTAACTAACTAACTAACTAACTAAACAATCGCTCATAAAAATTTAAAAATTCTACACTCAGAGATCAAAGTTTAGGTTAAGATATGTATCTCGAAGAAGGAGGAAAATATAACTGAGCTTTATTTTAAAGTCGAGAGATTAGGCTTTCAGTTAGCATAACAAAGTTTATAAATATGGGTGTCTTCGCGTCTTAAAGCGTCTTAAATATGACCAATCTTGAGGTCACATTAACTGGAAAACCTGATATGAAGGATAAATTCTAAGGCCAATACTTCCAATTCTAAGGCCAATACTTCCAATACTTTAGAAAATTATACTTTGGCTTAAAAATATGTTGTCCTGTATAAATTTCAACATGTTTCTGCCATCTTATGGTGGTTTGGTTTATTGGGTTTTAATAATAATTATTTATTTTTGTTAAGCTTTGTTTATTTAAATGAAACCACTGTGCTGCGTGTGTGTTATATTCACTGAACATCGTTATATTGTTAATATTGATTTGTTTTATTAACTTTTTTCTAAACTCTTTTTTTTTCTAATTTCTAAACAAACAGTTTGTTCGTGTATAAGACTTGTTTCTTTTGTTTTATTTGCATAAATTTTATTGATTTTTGTTGCTGCTGCTGTCAATACTTTGTTTTGTTTTTATTATTTTAATATTTGTTTAAAACAACTTTTTGTTATTGTTTTCATATATTTATTTGTTTAAATGGTTGTTAAACTCTTGTTATTAACATCATTATTAACACTTTAAATAGAGATTTAATTAAATTATATTTTTATTATATTTTTTTTTTTTTGCTTTTTTGAAAGAATTTTATTTTAACACGATTTTTATTTATTATTTTAAAAGCAACACTCACCATTGTGGCCATTCTAGCTGCTGGATAATAACCGGGTAATTGACCCGATGCAATTAAATTTCTGCGTTTATTGTGTTCATTGACGAAAACATGTTTGAATTTTGATATATCAACATCGCTGGCATCGGGATAGCAACGACGATGAAAGTTCTGAAAATGGAAATGGGTTGATGTTTTATATATTATTGGATAGGAAATTTAACAGTTAAAAAATGTTATATAGAAATTTTTCTATAACAATTTTACTTAACAGTTTTATATAGAAAGTACTGTTATACACATTTTTTTTCTATAGAAAAACTGTTATACTGAACATTTTGCATAGAACAAAATGTTATACCAAAGTTTTCCATAGAAAAAAAGGGTGTAGTAAACATTTTTATAGAAAACAATGTTATGCTACGATATTTCTGTAGAAAAAACTGTTATACTAAAATAATTTTTTATAGTAAAACTCTTATACTAAAAATTAACTTTAGAAGACTGTTTATACAGAACCATTTTAGAAGAAAAAACTGTTAAATTGAAAATTTTTCTACAAAAAAAAAAAAAAAAACAGTTATAATTAAAATTTTCTATAGAAAAAAACTGTTATACTACAAATTTTGTACAGAAAAAACTGGTTTACTAAAAATTTTATATAGGAAAAACGTTTGTACTGAAAACTTACTATAGAAAAATGTTATACAAAAGCATTTTAGAAGAAAAAAATATTAAATTTAAACTGTTATACTAAAGTTTTTCTATAGAAAAAACTGTTATACAGAAAAATTTTTATAAAAAAACTGTTATGCTGCAAAGTTTATGTAGAATAAACTGTTATACTAAAAAATTTTGTATAAAAAAAACTTTTATACTGAAAATTTACTACAGTAAACTGTTATACAAAACTATTTCTGAAGAAAAAACTGTTAAATTGTTAACAGTTTCTATAAAAAAACTGTCATACAAAATTTTTTCTATAGGAAAAATTGTTGTACTGAAAATTTCGCCTAGAAAATATTTTTGTAATAAAAATTTTCTATAGAAAAAGATTTAAGACTAAAATTTTTCTGTAGAAGAAACTATTATACGAAAAATGTTGTATAGAAAAAATATTATACTGGAAACATACTATAGAAAACTGTTATACAAAACCATTTCTGAAGAAAAAAACTTTTATATTCAAAATTTTCTGTAGAATAACTGTTATATTAAATATTTTCTACATAAAAAAACTGTTATACTGAAAACTTTGCATAAAAAAACTGTTATACTGCAATTTTTATGTAGAAAAAACTAAACTATGCTAAACTATTCTATAGAAAAATGTTGTAAAGAAAAAAATTGTTTATGAAAACTTACGACAGAAAACTGTTATAAAAGGATGAAAAAACAGTTATTTTGAAAAATTTCTGTTAAACTGATATACTAATTTTTTAATAGTCAAAATTGCATAGAAAGAACTATTGTACTGAGTTTTTTCTGTAGAAAAAACTGTTATACTATAAACTGTTGTACAAATAACGGGTATAATGAAAATTTACTACAGAAAACTGTTATACAAAACCATTTCTGAAGAAAAAAACTGTTAAATTTTATTTTTTTTTATAGAAAAACTATTATACTAAAATATTTTCATAGAAAAAACTGTTATACTGAAAATTTTCTATAGAAAAAAATTGTATACTTCAATTTTTCTACTGAAAAAACTGTTATAATAAAAAATGTTCTATAAGAAATCTGTTTTACTAAAAACCTACTGCAGAAAACTGTTATACAAAACAATTTCTAGAAAAAAAAGCAGTTAAATTGGACATTTTCTGTAGAAATACTGTTATACTGAAAATTTTGCATAGAAAACCTGTTATATTACAATACTTAACATTTCTACAGAAAACTCTTTTACTAAAACCTTTCTTTAGAAAAACTGTTAAATTGAAAATTTTCTGTAGAAAAACTGTTATAATAAAACAAGTTTTTTATAGAAAAAAAACTGATATACTGCAGTTTTGAAAAAACTGTTATACAGAAAATTTCCTTTACAAAAAAACTGTTATAAAAAACAATTTCTGAAAATTTTATGTTGAAAAAAACTGTTATACAAAAAATGATCTATATAAGTTACATGTTTCAGAACAATTTATGATTTTAGACATCGATTTTTATATATTTTTGAAATTCAAAAAAAAAATGTAATTTAAAATTTTTTTTCTACTTTCAATTTTATTTTTAAAATGTATCGTTTTTGGTAAAAAAAAACATAAAATACAAATTTATTGTTACATCTGCCCCCAATGTAACTCCTCCAGTTTAGTCTCTATCGTATTAGATCAACACGACCTCATCTAGTAAACTGATATAACCGTCAGTTAAAGTCCACTGAACTTCTTATTTCATTAAATTACTCATACGCCTAGTAGACACACAATTTCATGACTTACCCCCATTTTCACAAATGCAGTTATCGTTTAACTGGTAGTTATTTTTCCAGTTAGGACAATTTTTGTATGAGAACTGTCAATATATTTTAAAGTTAAAAAATAACTAGACATTGTGAAAATGGGGGTTAGTAAATTAAAAAACCTTACACCATTATTCCGACAGGCAATGTGTCGAACTGTTTTTGAACCGCCACACAACTGAGGATCACACCACGAATACTGCTGACACAAACAATTCAAAATGTTCGCAAATAAAACTAATAAAATTAACATTTTCCGTTTAACTGACACTTGTTGTATTAATGGAAAGTTCATTTTGTGTGTTAAGTTTTAAATAAAATTTTTTTGTTTTAAATTTGAAATTTAAATTTTTGTGGTTTTTAATTAATAATAAAAAAAACTTTCGGCTTAGGATTTTTTGTCAAGCGTTTTATTTTATATGAATTGAACAAATCTTTTTAAACTTTTTTTTCTTATTCTTCGATTTATTTAAATTAATTTAAAATTTTTATTTTTCGAAAGGCTAAGAAGTTTAAAACAAATGTTAACCGCCGACAACCGTTTACCGATACCGAATGATAGTAGTCAAGCTAAAAGTTTAACGGCCAAGCCCAAAAGACAATAATTTTTCTCTTAGTTATTGGCAATAATTTTATTATTTTTTTTTTTTTTTCTTAAAGTCTTTCTTTCTCGGTTTTGTGTGTTAAAATAAAATATAAAATTTAGAACAAGTTTTAAGTCATTTATTTTTTTTGTTGTTGCTGAATTTTTAAAAATAAAACAAATAAAAAAGTGTGTGTATAGAAAAAAAATTATGATTTTAAAATGCTAAAATTTAAATTTTTATAATTAAATAAAGAACAATAAACTCTCTCTTACACACACTCACTCATAAACTTTAACTCAATACAGGCATGGAAAAATTAAATTTATTTCTTATAACAAAATTAGTACTTTTTTTAAGCTTTTAAATACTAAACTAATTTTCAGCTAGACTAGACAAGATTATAAACTAGACAAAACTATAGACTAGACAAGACTATAGACTAGACTATAGACTAGACTATAGACTAGACTATAGACTAGACTATAGACTAGACTATAGACTAGACTAGACTATAGACTAGACTTTAGACTAGACTATAGACTAGACTATAGACTAGACTATAGACTAGACTATAGACTAGACTATAGACTAGACTATAGACTAGACTATAGACTAGACTATAGACTAGACTATAGACTAGACTATAGACTAGACTATAGACTAGACTATAGACTAGACTATAGACTAGACTATAGACTAGACTATAGACTAGACTATAGACTAGACTATAGACTATACTATAGACTAGACTATAGACTAGACTATAGACTAGACTATAGACTAGACTATAGACTAGACTATAGACTAGACTATAGACTAGACTATAGACTAGACTATAGACTAGACTAGACTAAGACTAGACTATAGACTAGACTATAGACTAGACTATAGACTAGACTATAGACTAGACTATAGACTAGACTATAGACTAGACTATAGACTAGACTATAGACTAGACTAGACTATAGACTAGACTATAGACTAGACTATAGACTAGACTATAGACTAGACTATAGACTAGACTATAGACTAGACTATAGACTAGACTATAGACTAGACTATAGACTAGATAGACTAGATAGACTAGACTATAGACTAGACTATAGACTAGACTATAGACTAGACTATAGACTAGACTATAGACTAGACTATAGACTAGACTATAGACTAGACTATAGACTAGACTATAGACTAGACTATGACTAGACTATACTAGACTATAGACTAGACTATAGACTAGACTATAGACTAGACTATAGACTAGACTATAGACTAGACTATAGACTAGACTATAGACTAGACTATAACTAGACTATAGACTAGAACTATAGACTAGACTATAGACTAGACTATAGACTAGACTATAGACTAGACTATAGACTAGACTATAGACTAGACTATAGACTAGACTATAGACTAGACTATACTAGACTAGACTATAGACTAGACTATAGACTAGACTATAGGACTAGACTATAGACTAGACTATAGACTAGACTATAGACTAGACTATAGACTAGACTATAGACCTAGACTATAGACTAGACTATAGACTAGACTATAGACTAGACTACTAGACTACTAGACTATAGACTAGACTATAGACTAGACTATAGACTAGACTATAGACTAGACTATAGACTAGACTATAGACTAGACATAGACTAGACTATAGACTAGACTATAGCTAGACTACTAGACTAGACTATAGACTAGACTATAGACTAGACTATAGACTAGACTATAGACTAGACTATAGACTAGACTATAGACTAGACTATAGACTAGACTATAGAACTAGACTATAGACTAGACATAGACTAGACTATAGGACTAGACTATAGACTAGACTATAGACTAGACTATATAGACTAGACTATAGACTAGACTATAGACTAGACTATAGACTAGACTATAGACTAGACTTATCGAGGACTATAGACTGCTATAGACTAGACTATAGACTAGACTATAGACTAGACTATAGACTAGACTATAGACTAGACTATAGATAGACTATAGACCTATGACTATAGACTAGACTATAGACTAGACTATAGACTAGACTATAGACTAGACTATAGACTAGACTATAGACTAGACTATAGACTAGACTATAGACTAGACTATAGACTAGACTATAGACTAGACTATAGACTAGACTATGACTAGACTATAGGACTAGACTATAGACTAGACTATAGACTAGATATAGACTAGACTATAGACTAGACTATAGACTAGACTATAGACTAGACTATAGACTAGACTATAGACTAGACTATAGACTAGACTATAGACTAGACTATAGACTAGACTATAGGACAGACTAATAGACTTAGACTATAGACTAGACTATAGACTAAGGACTATAGGACTCCCCCCCTAGACTATAGACTAGACTATAGACTAGACTATAGACTAGACTATAGACTAGACTATAGACTAGACTAACTAGATCTAGACTAGACTAGACTAGACTATAGACTAGACTATAGACTAGACTATAGACTAGACTATAGACTAGACTATAGACTAGACTATAGACTAGACTATAGACTAGACTATAGACTAGACTATAGACTAGACTATAGACTAGACTATAGACTAGACTATAGACTAGACTATAGACTAGACTATAGACTAGACTATAGACTAGACTATAGACTAGACTAGACTATAGATTAGACTAGACTAGACTATAGACTAGACTAGACTAGACTAGACTAGACTAGACTATAGACCAGACTAGACTATAGACTAGACTAGACTATAGACTAGACTATAGACCAGACTATAGACTAGACTATAGACTAGACTATAGACAAGACTATAGACAAGACTATAGACTAGACTATAGACTAGACTATAGACTAGACTATAGACTAGACTAGACTATAGACTAGACTAGACTAGACTAGACTAGACTAGACTAGACTAGACTAGACTATAGACTAGACTAGACTAGACTATAGACTAGACTATAGACTATAGACTAGACTAGACTATAGACTATGACTAGACTAGACTAGACTATAGACTAGACTAGACTAGACTAGACTAGACTATAGCCTAGACTAGACTAGACTAGACTAGACTAGACTAGACTAGACTAGACTAGACTAGACTAGACTAGACTAGACTAGACTAGACTAGACTAGGACTAGACTAGACTAGACTAGACTATAGACTAGACTAGACTATAGACTAGACTATAGACTAGACTATAGACTAGACTATAGACTAGACTATAGACTAGACTATAGACTAGACTATAGACTAGACTATAGACTAGACTATAGACTAGACTATAGACTAGACTGTAGACTAGACTATAGACTAGACTATAGACTAGACTATAGACTAGACTATAGACTAGACTATAGACTAGACTATAGACTAGACTATAGACTAGACTATAGACTAGACTATAGACTAGACTATAGACTAGACTATAGACTAGACTATAGACTAGACTATAGACTAGACTATAGACTAGACTATAGACTAGTATACTAGACTATAGACTAGACTATAGACTAGACTATAGACTAGACTATAGACTAGACTATAGACTAGACTATAGACTAGACTATAGACTTGACTATAGACTAGACTAGACTAGACTTAGACTAGACTATAGACTAGACTAAATAAAAGGGTACATACTAGACTATACTATAGAACTACTATGTCGACTATTTGTCTTAAGTTAGAAAAAGTACAGAAAATTTCGTGGGGATACCGCGGTATTCTTCGATATATAAATGTACTAAATTTTCCATGCCTGGCTCAATTGCTTTTTTCTTTAGTTGTAAGTTTAGATCAGTTTTCGGCAACCAGAACAAACAGGGAACGAGTGATTACAGCACACAAAACAGCTTGTTACTGTAGAAGCTGCATGTTAACTCTTTGTGCCAATCACTGTTCTTAAATCCGCTATGCAATATTAAAGATTCCAAATGTCTATCTTTTAAAATCCCGATAAAACAAAGGAAAGAACTTGTTCTTAAAACTATAGAGAGAGTGAATACTCGTTAATCTTTTTTTTTTGTATAATATTATTTATATTTAAATATTTATGTATATATTTTATTATAAGTATTATTTTATTTATACATATCTAGAATTGAATCTATTATTAATTATGCAATATTTGTTAGTTAGTTGGCGTAGAAGTTAGTCAGTAAGTTAGTTAGTTAGTTGCTAAATTAATATTCTTTTAGCGTGTCAATTTCACTTTAACTTGTCTTGTTATGACTTTAAGACGACTCTTAAAGCGTATTAATGTTTTTGTTGCTGCTGTCATTAGTTGATTTAAGCAGAGGAAGCATGTTCATTTAAATATCATCAAATATCATGTTGGAATTAAATTATGATTCGAATTATTTGCCACTTAAGTGTTAGTTATTGTTTTAGTATTTCTAGATTTCTTTACCCTACACCAGGGAAATATCAAAGTTTATCGTTCCGTTTGTCCTTTAGCTTTATTATAATCTGTTGAAGCTACTCTCGATTTGATTAGATTAGAAAGAGCTTTAAGTACTTCGACTTTGTTTCAGATCTTTTGTGCAGCCCGTAAGTTTACCATACTAGGTTCAATTCACACATGAAAATAACGGGTTTGATTGGTGAGAGGTTAAATATATTCTTCGGGGCTAGTTAAGCAGCACTCAAGATTATAGCTCGACGTGATCCTAATATTGGAAAGTGACACAATATGTGTTCAGAAGGGTTAATCCTGACAGGCACAAAATCTGCATAACTTTGATATGGCGTTACCTAGGATGAATTGGTAATATCTGAGATCGCAGTGTACCGTGAGTAATCCCGTTAGTATTCTAAAATAGTTTTCACATTTAGTAATGTCACACATTACGACGCCCGATCTGACTTTATATAATAGTAAGGCCTTGAGCGCTGCATGACTGTCTGACATTATGTATATTTTTATAGACACCTTGTCCTTATCCTC